TTCACTTTAGATTTTCTGTTTAGGTATGAAGCTGTTGGGATGCATGCCTAGATCTTCAACCCCTCAAGTAGGTGAAAGGTGAAGCCCCAAAAGAATGAAAGAAGTGACACAATCTTTAGGGATGCAGGAGGATTAAATCCTTGGCAGAGGTCATAACTTTTCTAGCCCACTGGCTGACTGATGCTGAGCAGCACATATTTAATCAGAACAAGCAAAGAGCTGAGTGCACAATGGAGGAAACCTGAGCAGGCTCTTGGGGGGATTTCAAGGAACTTTCAGAGCAACAAATGACTCAAATTAAGGAACATAATCCAGAAAGTCTCCAGGTGGCCTCAGCTATGACCTATCATGCACACTGAGTGTCTCCTCATTCTCAGATCAATGGTGCTCAGGCTATGCCAGAACCCTGCATGTGTACTCAGCTTGAATGGCTCCAACAAGTTTCCAAATAACTTTAATGAATCACAAGTGCACACCACTCAAGTCTCATTCAAAAACTGTCACTTTGTCTCAATCCCAGACACAGCCTTTCTATTTTACTGAATAGTGATAGACATTTGCCTTGTCTCATCATATTCATGCTTAGTCACCATGCTCAATGGTAGAGAATATATCAGTCTCAGCCATGAAATGCTGAAGCCACAGTAAAACTTTGTTTTTGGTCAATAATCTTTCTCAGCATGCATAATATTTTGACACCAAATGAGTATGAAACTCACCATGGTGATAACAACTAAAAATTAAAAGTACAAGATGATGTAAGACAATGAGAAAAGGCAATGTGAAACTCTTTAGCTTAATTGAAGAGATGACATTTTACCTAGAGTTGTTTGAATAACATAAGGCGGTTAGTCCCACAATGCTAAAATTGCACTGATGGAAGAAGTAGTAGTTTGAAGCAAAGACATGAGGCTCTACTGAGCACACAGACAGGCCATTGTTATACATTGTCTAAATATGAACCCAAAAGGAGGATTGAGGCCTTGAGAAACTTGTCCCTCTTGTGCTTGTAGAACTCTAGTAAAGTGTGGCAAAACCACTTAGGTTCAAGGCAAATTCTCGATGGAATAAGGGCAGCCAATAGCTGCATTTTCATGAGTTTGGATAGGTGTATACTGCTATCCTAATTATTTTTGGGAATTCAGGTTGTGCATCCTACATTTTTCTTCACATCAGAACATCAGTAAAAGACCTGAGAGACTTGCAAATTATTTGTCAATATAAAATGCCTGCATCTGTGTGTGCATCATTTAGTGACAATTTAGGTAGACAGAGGCCAGACAACATAGGCTGCAAAGGCTCATGTTCAGGTGACTGGCAGCACCACGCAGGTTCCTAACACACCTACTCCTTGCCCATGCAACACACAATGTAATGACTTGATTGTGGTCAAGAATCTATCAACAGTCTTCTAAACCAAGCTATTGATATAGCCGGGCTTTGTTCCAAGAGAAAAATGACATATAACATTACGTAACTAAAGAACTTTATCATGTCTCAAAAATGTCACATCTTATCCTTTCCAATCTGTTGTAGTCAGGGTTTGCAAAGAAAGAGACTTAATATGGAACTTATAATTGATAAGATAATTTTAAAATATTTACCCCAAAAAGTTAGATTTAGAGAGATGTAGAGCTATTCAGATTCTAAAGACCAAAAAATCTAGCTGAGTACTTGAACGCTATGACAATATACAGCACAAGTACAGCTGAAGAATCAGAGTCCATGGCAAGGGCCATCAAAAGTTTACCTGGAGACCTAGAGTCACTTACAATGGCTCATGCAAATCTCTTAAAGTTGTACACTAGGAAGGCTCCAAGCTCAGTGTTGGAAGCTAGAAACTCTGTTCCCTTGGTCATAGGATCTGTGCCACCAGGTTGAGTGATCAGTACTGGAGCCAAGACATAAAGCTCATGCTAAGGGCCAGAGATCTGCAAATGAGAACAGTAGCCATGCACAGCAATAATGAGGACCTGAGTTCCTCTAATGATGATGATGGCTGAGTTCATATCTGGAAAACCAGTGCTACCGACTTCTCCTTGAGAATCAACAACCCAGCTCCCTTCCCTACAGTTCTGCTTTAATGCTGTTTTAAAAAATGCTTCAATGGGTGTTCTGCCCCAAAACCATGATGACTTCATTCACTGGGTGATCCAAGTTGACCATTACTAATAGGGCCACACCACCAGAGCAGTTCTTTAGATACTTAAAATCAAAACCAGACTTTATATCACTTCATGTATTAAAGTTGTCATCTGGTCTGCTTCACATAAACAACAGTGACAAAACCTGAGGCTCATTTTAATGAAATAATCAGGAACATAAAACCTCACAAAGTAGTCTTCACATCTGCTTTAAGAAATCTCTCACAGGAACAATGTGATAGGTTTCTATGTGTGTGTCCTACCTAACTGTGGGCACTTGAATGAAACTACAGAAAGTGTTATTGACCCTCTGATTATCCCAGGAAATTTAAAAAATCTTTTCTAAGAAAAGTAGAAAAAGAAACAGTTATGTACACCTGTGTTTCACTGCACTACTCTGACAGCACTGAACCCAGGAGAGAATGTCACGAGCCTGGTGTTATGCACATTACCACCTCAACAAGGCCAAGGTTTCTACAGATGCTGGAGGTAAAAAGTGGAAATACTTTAGCAACTAAAATAGTTTAAATAAAATATACTGAATATGCACTTAATATACCAAATGTAAACTAGGCCTGGGGGCTCTTGCATGGAGCCTGGTATTTTAGACACTAAGGAAGGAGAATTGTTTGAGACCACTCTGGGTTTTAAAGCGATCTGAAAGCCAGGCTGAACTTCATAGCAACATGCTTCCTCATAAAAATAAATATATCAAATCTAATGAACCTAATAGTGTACTAGTGATGGCCTTATGACATTACCATGACTATCATGCTTATACTGACCTGTAGTCTACTAGGAAAACCTAACTTACAGCCCATTTCACAATAAAATATCACACCATTTGACAAATGGAGTACACTGGTGAGTTTTTATTGTTCATCATTGACATTTGGTGGTGATGGAGCAGTGCTTGCTACTGCTCTCCACAGAAAAATGACTATTGCTGCAGTAACAGGAATCTGCATGAATCACGGCAATATGTCCTTAACTCTGTGGAAGAGACACCCTAAAGGAAGCACTGCACTAATGAGAATTACTAATTTTACTCTTTTGAATACTTTACAAACTGATGTCTGTAGTAGTTGAACTACTTACTTACATTTCCACCAACAAGGTTAAATAGTTGCTTTTCTCCTGTAGTCTCATGAACGTTCCTTAGATCTTGTGGTGATTTGTTCTCTCTGCAATGAAATGATGTCCCTATTGGCATTTCTCTATTGTGCAAAAATGCTCAATAATTCTTCAGGTATTTCTTGGCAAGTTGTACATATTCTGAAAAATGTGTTTTCCTTTCATGTTCCTATTGGTTTTCCATGTTAGCTGTCAGGTAGTAACATGCAAAATTTCTCATTCTGTAGTTTATTTCTTCATCCTTTTGGTTTGACTTTTTTGTGGCTTCTATGTTTATGCACATGGATTAAAATCTTACAAAGCCCTTTTTGCTTGTGTTGTTACTCTGTCTTATTTTCTACACAAAACAGCAGCAATGCCATTAAAAATGTTTTTTAATACCTCTACTTTCAGAACATGGAATGCCTGGCTCTTTCATGTTTCACTATGTTTTACTCTAATAGAGTCACATTTGAAAGTGCTGCACAAATTACCATAAAAAGTACATTTCCTGAGTGAAAGTAAAATCAGAATTTGCAGTACTGATTCTTTTGTCCTATCGTACATTTGTATTCTTGACCTCAATTTACCTGTTTCTTTTAACTTTAAACTCAGGGGTAAATACAACTGCTTCACATTCTGCTAACTCATCTAGCAGTTGCCTCCTAAAGTCAGCTTCAAAACCATTATCCTCTCATCTCATTTTCTCCTCATGCTGGGACTAAAGAAATCACCTTTATCCTAATCTTTACAGGTAACTCCTTACCAATGCAATTATTTAAATACATAAAATGAACAAAAATTGCATACTTTTTGTTAGGTTTTATAAAATAAAAAGGAACATAAAAGTGACAATTCTACTGTATTCAATACAAGAATGAATGGGTTAAATTGACAATGGCCCAAAGATGCTCAGGATGGTCACTGCATAAACAAATCTGTTTCCCAACTGATGCTCGGGGATAACTGTTGGTGGCCAAGTGATAAAAGGACAACTACAGATGTGTAATTGTGAGTATTAAAAAATGTTGACGCGGGGAACGAAAGGGAGGAGTACTAAACCATTAAGCTACATTTGCAGAACTTGAAGATATATTTGAGACAGGGTCACCCTAATTGTGTAGATTGGACTCAACTTCCTCTTCCATCATTTTAAGCCCACTGATGTGCTAGGATTATAAGCATGCATCAACAGGACCAGCAATATTTACTTTTATGGTAAAATGAGAAAGTGCATGTACTCAGGATATATGTCTTGTAGATTCAGTATTGTATTATTAGCTCTAACACAAATTCAAAATTTTCCTGTTGATGGTAAGCAGAAATGTGCTGCAGGGAATCTGGCCACATGCTATAGTGCATAGAGCCTGCCAATGTACTTCACAGCATCTTTTACTTTGTGAAGTATATCAGGTACTTAAGGTACAAAATAGATATAGTTTGATTGGTGATTACACAACAGGTAAGTAATTTGTTTTTCCAAGGATAATTGAGACTTGGGCAAGCTATCTTCAGTGGATTAGGGGTATTTAATGCGATGCTCACTTGTGTTTTCATGACACCACAGTTTATAATAACAGAATTCCATTGGAACCTAAGCAGATTTTGTATTCAACAACACTGCATTAAACACTTTACAAATTTAATCAATGTTAAAATGGAAGTGTCAACCATAGGCCACAGGAAACCAACTGGCACTCATGGCCCAGTGTATGTATTTAAAGATAATCATCACACACCACATACATCAGCCACAAGTTTTTATAAACGAAGAGATATGATATTGTATAAACTCACAATTCAGTAAAACAGAACACAATCTGAATCTTAATTTAGCAAATTTACTTCTTATTGTGTTGACAGCTCAAAATTTAGGTTTCCCTTCATGCCATTACTTCAGTGTCTGAGGAAAAAGCAGTAATAATTACAAAATATATAGTTCATTCACAGCATGAAGGAATAAGATAAAGGCATTTGCATGATATATCCAATAACAATCTTTTCCCCCCAAACAACTCCACATTTACGGAAAATTCATTTCAAAGTGGTTACCCATAAATCATGCCAAATTTTATAATTTCTGGAGACATTAACATATTTTGTGATGTGCTATTGGAAACATGTTATGGTGCTGCCAGAATGGGGCAACCAGAAATTCACAGTACTATGGTTTACTATTGGTACATGTGGGGAAACCCTACTAGCAAAGTAAAGATGCAATATAAACATGACAGGTCAAATTGTGATGATTAGAAAAACAAAGGTTTACATAAATGACAAATATTGGTACCCCTGAGAAAGAAAATCAGGCAACATAATGAACATGGTGTGATATCCAGTGATGTTAGCAGATCAGCAGGTTTTGTATCTCTTCACAACGTAGAAAACATAACATTCATTAATGTACAAGTTATGTGAAAAGAACACATCTTTGTCAAAAACACATGCTCCAAGCCTCTATAAATGTATATCTTAATGCCAAATATTGCATCAACTTCAGAAACATGAATTATGACACAGAAAATGAAGCATGTGTATCAAAAGACTAAAGCAGATGCTGTGTTAACATTACAATTCACTAAAAATTAAGAGACTAGACTAATATCACTCTGAAGAGTGAATAATAGTATTGCTAGAGTTTATATCATAATGCTACAGAATTAGCATTGGGTTTCTTAGTGTCTCTTCTTCTTCAGAATATCTGTTCATTACCTCATGTATTATATAATTTGTTCCTATAAATATGTTAGAAAGTCTTCTCCTGTGTCAATCTCTATGTAAATATCTATCCTTTATGTATTATGGGGATAAACAAATCAAAACAAGACAACGAAACAAATTCCGAGAAAACCATGATATGAAAAAGACAGATAGGTGATGTGCAGTACTTACTATGCTTTCTCTTATTATTTTCAACAGAATTGTCTGCATCATCAGGCATTTTATAGTTAAGCATAACATTACATAGCCATTTTTATAAAAACACAACATTGAAACATTATAGGACGTGAAAGCAGTTAATAATCAAACCTGGAATGGATACCTATTATTTATTTATTTTTTTGGTACTGGGGATCAACCTCACGATCTCACACTTGTCAGGCAGGTTCTTAAGCCACTGATCTAAATCCCCAGCCCCCCAATGGATATCTTTTACATCTTGTCATCTTCAGAGTTGTTGCCTCTACTCTTAGACTTGATACCAGCAAGCATGTGGATGCGAATAAAATCAGTCAAGGCCAAATAGCATTCAAACAAACCAGCTTCAAATAAGATTTCATAGTAAGACAATGTAAGTAATATAGTCTTTTGTTTTAAGTTAATAGGAAATTAAGAATAGTTGCCATGGTATAACCTGCTATTTTTGGGTTATCAGTCTATGCTCTCAAATCTAATATGAGTAGACAGACTGGAACAAAATGTTATCAAACTAAACAGAGCAACAAGGCAACTGTAGATTTTAAATCCTGATACACTTTTAACAATGTCCTCTGCCTTCTTTTTTTAGGCAATTCCTCACCTTTCTCCTTCTCAGGATACTATTATTCACTGTTCAGAGTGATATTTGTCTGGTCTCTTATGTTCAATTTCAGCATATGTAAAGATAAAGACAGCTACCACAATTAGAATGAGAGACATTATTGTAGTCATTATTGACTTCCCCAAAATCAGGTTTTGAAGACATAAAAAGCCTTCATCATCCTGTAATTATTTGATTAGTTCTATAATGTTCAGTATATATTCAATGCACGAGAAGATGAGAACAACTATTTGGAAGGATAGGCAGTGAACATCTCCAGTGGACTTGCTTTGAAATGTGTGTTTCCTTATCTTGTTTTCTTATGAACTGTTCTGTTCTGTTTTGTCATATTTAATCTTACCCTCTTTAAGATAAAAAATAAGTGTGTAGGACAGATAAGCATATTATTAACTTTTTATTGGATCATTTAGGTGAACTGTTCACAGTGTCATTATTTGAATGTCACTTTGTGCGCTTTAATTTTGTAACTTGAACAACTACTACGATAACAATATGTAACTTATGAACTAGTGATTTCTTATTATTTTTCTGAAATTTTGCATTATTTCTACAAATTTTAGTTTTTTTCTCTTTAAATAAACATTACAATTCACCAAAAAATATAAAAATAAATTTTTAAAGACAAAACATTGAGTACATAGACACTATCCATACTTCAAAGTGAAAAGCACATTTCCATTTACCATGTTTAATTACAGGATTGCATGTTGAAGAACAAAGACACTATTAAAAATCTAGAGAGGTACAAGTGATTAACTGAAAACCATAAAACATGTGCATTTGAGGAAATCTCCACCTCAGATTTGTCATTTCTGGAAAATTTGTGAAGAAATATAGACATCAAATTTCTGTACTGATGATTTCTTCAGGTCTCCTTGGAATTTTAAAGTAGACTTAGGTCTAAACAGTCTGACCAGTAGGGCTTTTTCTGTGTTTTTAACAACAAATATGGAATGCCATATTTCTCACATTGCAAAACCACATAGGATGTCTGCCCAGTGAGCTCTTTCAGATATGTAACAATCATCATGTGTGCTGAGAATAATCCCGTAACACATAGGTTTTATTGAAAGTGTGAGTTTCTTCATGTATTTCACTTTCACTCTGGCTGCTGAAAGTTTCTATATTGCTTACATAGCCAATGGTTCTTCCCAGTGGGAGTTCATTCATGTGTTTTGCAATGAATGTACGCAGTAAATGCTTTGCCACATTGTTATATACATAGGGTTTCTCACCAGTGTGAAGTCATTAATGTATTTTACAATATCCATGTGTGGTGAAAGCTTTCCCACATCCTTCACATACATTAGGGTTTCTTAACAGTGTGAATTATTTCATGTATTGGACAATGAGCATTTCTGCTGAAACCTTTCCCACATTCCTTACATATATAAGTTTTCTGCTCAGTGTGAAGGTTTTCATGCATTATGCAAAATGTACATGTGCTGAAATGATTCTCATGATGCTTATATATACTGGTTTTATCTTGAGTGTGAACTTTCATGTTTCTTACAATTTCCATGTTGGGTAAAACCTTTCCCACACTGCATACATACATAGGGTTTCTCTCCAGTGTGAATTATTTCATGTCGCTTACAATCTCCATGTGTGTTAAAAGCTTTTTCACATTGTTTGCATACATAGGGTTTCTCTCCAGTGTGAATTCTTTCATGTTGCTTGAAATGAGCATGTTGGCTAAAAGCTTTCCCACATTGCTTACATATATAGGGTTTCTCTCCAGTGTGAATTCTTTCATGTTGCTTACAATATCCATATCTGTTAAAAGCTTTCCCACATTGCTTACATACATAGCGTTTCTCTCCAGTGTGAATTATTTCATGTTGCTTGCAAAGAGAATGTTGGCTAAAAGCTTTCCCACATTGCTTACATACATATGGTTTTTCTCCATTGTGAATTCTTTCATGATTCTTACAATTTAGTGACTGGGTGAAACATTTTCCACAGTGCTTACATACATAGGGTTTCACTCCAGTGTGAATTCTTTCATGTTTTTTACAATCTGCACGTGTGGTAAAAGATTTTCCACAGTCCTTACATACATAGGGTTTCTCTCCAGTGTGAATTCTTTCATGTCGATTAGAACCTCCACGAGTGGCAAAAGCTTTCCCACATTGCTTACACACATAGGGTTTCTCTCTAGTGTGAATTCTTTCATGATTCTTACAGTTTACACTTTGGGTGAAACCTTTTCCACAGTGCTTACATACATAGGGTTTCTCTCCAGTGTGAATTCTTTCATGTTTTTTACAATCTCCACTTTTCCTAAAGGATTTCCCACAGGCCTTACATACATAGGGTTTCTCTCCAGTGTGAATTCTTTCATGTTGCTTACACTGTCCAGATGTGGTAAAAGCTTTCTCACATTCCTTACATACATAGGGTTTCCCTCCAGTGTGAATTCTTTCATGTTTCTTACAATTTCCTCGTTGGGTGAAACCTTTTCCACATTGCTTACATACATAGGGTTTCTCTCCAGTGTGAAGATTTTTATGTATTTGACAATGAATGTTATTGCTAAAAGCTTTCCCACATTTCTTACATATATACAATTTCTTCCCAGTGTGAATCTTTTCATGGATTACACAATAAGTACCTGTACTGAATGCTTTCTCATAGTGCTTACATAAATAATGTTTTTCTCCAGAGTGAAGACTTTCATATACTGGACAATATGTATGAGTTGTAAAAGCTTTCCCACATTGCTTACATGTGTAGGGTTGCTCTTCTCTGTGAATTCTTTCATGTTTCTTACAAATTCCAAGTGTGATAAAACCTTTCCCGCATTGGTTAAATAAATTGTGTTGCCCTCCATTGCAATATTTTTCATGGATCTGAACATCGTGTTGTGTTTCTGTTTCTTTCACACCCACATTACCTTCTGAAGTAAAAAGAAATTCTTTACACTGATTCCAAGATGTTTGTCCATAGAATTTTCCTAGCTTGTCATTTCTGTAAGGAAAAAAATCACATTTAGGATTGATAACCCTACTACTAACTTTTTGTTGGAGAGTTAAACAAAACTGTTTGTAATCTCGCCGTTCGAATCCCCACTTCATATGTTTCACTTTTGTATCTTGATTATCTCTTTCTATGAGCACTATATGTAATCATCAACTTGTGATTACTCACTGTTTATTTTCACTTTGAAAGTAGTATTATTTCAACTGATTTTGTTTTCTTTCATCTTCCTTTAAATAAAATTTAGAAAAACAAAAAAATCACAGTGAATTGGGTCTGTGTTAATGACTACATTGATGTCAAGTTCTGTTTTTAATGCCTGCTAGGAAATTCTGACAATCAAGCAACAGAATGCCTTGTAAGATATCTTGAAAACAACCATTCCAAAAAGACTGGTACACATTTGGGAATCTTAAAAGTTGGTACCTTTTGAAATGCAGAATATTTAGCTTCACTTTGGGCATGGGTACATATGTGTATGACATGCAGATCATTCTGATATGTTTCCCCATCACATTCTCCCTTCTGTCCTTAATCTGCCATTCCCTTCTCCTAATTGTGAAACTTACCTTTGTTTATCAACTCTCTGTTTTTTCATTGTATGATTTATATTTTGGTTTCACATCTAAAATAAACCCTCTGACCTTTTAGGTTTTATAGCTGAGCTATTTCAATGAATTGATGGGATAAAGGCCCACCTAATTCTTGTGGCAAATGACAGTATGTTATTTATTTTTTTGACATTATATAACACATTTTTTTTCTTTTCCATGCTGGGAATCAACAACAGGTATTGGCACAAAATCTTTAGCTTTTTTATTTTAAGAGATATGCACTCATCATTAAGCTTTGAAGTTTGAACTTGAATTTGGCATTCTGCAAAATCTGATTCCTAGGGTGCTGGGTTTATAAGAATGCAGAATCACACAGAGTCTATTAAAATTTTACTTCACAAATCCAGTGATAGATAGCTAAGCAGTTTCAAGCCCTGATCTATTATAACATGATCTGCTTTGTATATGAGAAATTATCTATCTGCATTTAATGTGGATTTTGAGTTTTTAAAAATATATCAAGGAGAAGTATGAGGGAATCACCGTCTAGAGACAACTGCATACTGATATTTAGAATGAGTGCACTTACGATTTCACAAGCCTACTAAGAATTATAATCAGAACAGCTGATTCTCTAGAGCATGGCTTGGAAACCCGAGCACTCAGTTTTATTTCATATTCTACTGCAACCTTAGCAATTTTTAGATAATGAATGAGTTTCATTAACATGTATGTATAGGTATGTATACTGAAGGCAGGATGTCATCATAACTCAAAGTGTATCCCTTTCATACACATCTATATGCAATGTCATCATTTTCCCTCATTATACATGCCCAGCTTATACATCTTTCAAGAATATTACTGACATTAAATTGAATGGTGCCTCATTTCTTTGGCAGTAATTTTTCTGCTGACTCACTAATTACTCAGAAGAATCCTTCTCCTTGTGAGTGTGAATTACCTTAAGTATCTCCAGTAAATTTTGTATTCTTTTTCAGCTTGCTGTTTATCCCCAAGTCCTCCTGAATTATAGAAATAGAAATACCAGGCTCATTAGAGTAATATATACAAATTAATAGATTTTGATTAGATTTATAATATAATATGACCAGGTCTGAGCTATTTTTCAATCTTTCACATTCCTATTAATGAAACAGCACTGATGAGAAACAAACAATATTCTGATAGCATGAGTGACAATAAGAAGTCATCCTTACCTATTTCAGCCACGTTCCTAAAGGTTTCCCCCATCACATCTCTGTAGAGGTTCTTTTGGGATGGACTCAGCAAAGTCCACTCCTCATTGCTGAAATTCACAGCCACATCCTCAAAGGTCACCGCCTCCTAAAGGATCATACATATATTTCTCAAAGAAGGTTGAGACCCCAGGTCTGGGATATCATGAAATCTCTCACACAAATCTGAATGAAAAGCAAAGTGTGGTGGTGCATAGCTATAATCCCAGCACTCAAAAGGCTGAGACAGGCGGGTTTCTGTGAGGTCAGGGTAATTCTAGCCTCCATAGGGCATTCAAATCTGGCTGATATACAGACAGAAAACTTGTCTCAATAAAACAAAACTAAACTAAATGAACAAAACCAAACAAAACAGCTGAATGGAGACTGATTTCTTCAAATCTTAAATCCATGTCTTGGTCATTAATTTTATGTATATACACATTTTTGGATACAGCAAATTTGATGCTGTATTGCAACTCACTGCTAATGTAACAGCCAAACTGGAGCACTGATTCTTGTGTTGAATGATGGCAAGAGTCCCTGTGTACTGTTTCTAAAGCAGTGCTCACAGTGAGAAGCCTGCAGGACCTGCATCCATAAAGCACAAAGGCAGATAGATATATCATCAATCCCTTTGATAGACTACAGATGATGTCTCTTCAAATCTCATTTAGGCCACTGAGTCCTTTGTTCTCAATATACTTAAGCAGCATTTTGAAATATGAATGTGGTTTCATAGAACAAAACATAAATAACATCAAATATGGTACATAAATAATAACTGTAATGTTGGTGGAAAACAGATTTATTTTTAAAAAAATGTATATAAAATGAAACCAGGCCCAAGCTGCAAATTATAGTTCAGTGTCACCAAGAGATCACTTTCCATTCAGATATAAGAAATATATCTTGGGAGGCTGGTGCAGGACTACTTCCTTGTATTTGGGGCCATCCTAAGTTACAGAGCTGTTTAAAATAGAGAAACCCTGACTGAGACAAACCACAGAGAAAGTCAAACTTGAAAAGGACTGCAAGAGACATCTTTTGTTTGTTTTAAAAAATTGTACCCATACTATATAGAAAAATTCCAACAATATTAAACACTTTCTGAGGAACAATGTTGATATCTTCCATACTATACACAAAACATTTTCACATTTGGGCATTAAGCTCAGCGGCATGAATGCCTGCGTGGCAAGCATAGGTCATGAGTTCGACCTCTAGTACAAAAAAATTTTCAAATTTTACCTTCATGATACTGGGGCATAATTAGAGATAATCAAAATTACATCTCAAGTATGGAACATTAAATTTGGGGGTTGACCGGGATGTGGAATACTGACTGTTACCAAAGCTGGTGTTATTCACCTCAAGGAAGCAATCAGAACCCAATTTTAACTTCATACCTACTGTAAGAACTACCTGACTTTCAGTGAAGAACCTCTGATTTACAAATGCTGCTATTGGCACCCTGCATCATGCCAATCACTTCCACATCCTTTCCACACTCCTCTGATCCATCCTAAGCACCAAACCCTTCATGCCTAACTATTGATATCCCAGCACAATTTCTATTTAGGTCTTTTCCTTTACACCACTTAGTAAAGTCCACTGCAGAACATTTCCTTATTTAAACTGTCTATGATAAACCAAGCTATTAAATTAGCTCTTAATTCTGAGAAGTCAGCTCTATTTCTTTCCATTCTGCAGGATGTCACATGTATATTTCCATGTAAAGGCCTAAATTTAGGCATTTTCCAATGAGGATTTAACAGGTAGCCCTTACAGGAATTTGTCCTTAGCAAATGTTTACCCTGTTCTTGCTAACACTTTCATACTTGCTTCATTTTTCTCAGAATTCAAAACTCTATGGATGTTCTCACAAACATAGTCTGTGAGCAGGGGTGCCACCTAAATAATTAAATATGTTCAGAAATTATTTTGCATTGTTCTGTATAATTACAGGAGTTCACCAGGTGTTTGGGAAGCCTTTCTCCATTGAGGCACATCACTACACATCTCTGAATTCTCAGGACCTTTGCCAAAACCTGTCATGAGGATGGAAATATGAGCACATACTACAAATCTAGGTGATCACTATAAATACAAAAAAGCCCAAGTTTAAAGAGAGCTGTTGTGGCTATGAGGCCCTGCATTACAGACATTCATAAACTTAGACATACCCAATCTGCCACTGTGAGGAATGAGAGCAGAGACCTAGCTCATTAGTGCTCTACCAGCTATAAAAAGCATCAGAGTAAGTGTCTACCCAATCTCCTTCCATGCCTAAGATGGTGGAGTTACCAGGGCAGCAGTGAATTTCAAAGATGATACTCAAAGGTGATACTGCTGCTGTCATAGTGAAGCCAGGGTTCTGAGGGAATCAAAATCACCCTTGCCAACAGCAAGAGGCAAAAGGGACAGTGCATGACCCACGGCCAATGTTGGAGGACCTCAGGAGATGAAGCTAATTAAATACCCGAGGCTCCAGACACTGGAACTCCTCCTAAACATCTGTAACTGGTTTTACCCAATCCACCCTATTTCTGGGCTGCCATCCACAACCTCACCATTCCATGGCTCCAGTGTCTCTCAGATTCTTTGCTAATCAGGCCACAGGACTTTGAAACCACTAAATGAGATCCAGTAAGTGTTTTGCTACCAGTATTGTACTCAGAACGGGTAAATCATGCTGAGACACTGGAAGAGACAGAAGTCACAGGCAGCAATGGCCTGCCTGATCGGACAGTTCATATAGCCCGCCTCTTCCTCACTGATTGACTCCTGCACTATTGCACTCCTTCTGAGGCAAGAATAAAGAAGCAAAGGAACCCCTCCCTGCAAGAGAGGATCCCAAATGATAGACTGCAGTGCAGAGACTTATGGAGCTGCCATTCTTTTACAACAGTGAACCCAGGTCAACAGAGGAGTGTTTGTACTGAAGAGCTTCACCTCAGACTTGTTAATAGAACTAATTCTTGTGTACCTATGAATCTAATTTACCTCCTCAGTAACCTCAGTAAGCTAACTCACCTTAAACCCATCTCACACCATGATTTTATTCTATAAAGTCCCTAGAAAAGACAGAGTCCTTTACAACAGGCTCAGAACCCTTCCTGTTTCTCTCAGACAGAAGCTTTTTGAAAGGATTTTTGGTGTAGTAAAGAAGAGAATATGAAGTCAAAATAGCCTTTATTGTAAGACCATGGAGAGAAGCCCACGACCACTGGGGGTCTGGCTTTTTCTGGTGGAAATGTGTGGGGGCATACATTTAGATTTTGACTTGAGTGGTGCTTAAATGTGGCATTGATGATATGCCAGTAGCTGGTTGAGACTCTTTTCTGGCCAAGGTAAGCTGCATAGGGGAGGGGATAGTGACCTCCAGGTAAAAGTTCCCTGGTTCCAATTTCCACTGCAAAAGTATCTTATTTAGGGCAAAATACTTTAACTTTCTTTCTCTGAATAAATATATTCTGCTCTTATACTGTTGCTCCTAAAATTCAATCTTCCTTTTTACAAAACACAAACTCATATCAGACATAGAAGGTCAGGAGTTTCATTCCACTATATCACTGTGTGGTTGCCTGTATTTCTAACTAAACTCATCTGCCTGTAATATTAAGAACTGTTTATCAATTTCACTTGGCATAATTGTAGCACAATAATATGTTCTTAATGGATATAGGGAAATATGCCATTAAATTGAAAAAATGGTTATCACAGTTTTCTACCTAGCTTCAGCCAACATTTTCACCTTCAAGTTATTTGGGAAAAGAAAAAGTAAAAACTTAGAAAACAGCAACCATATAGGGGAGAGTATATCATTCACTGTAATAGCCATGTTATCTGTAGGTGTTTCATAGACCACAAAAGAAACATTGAGCCCTATAATTAACAAGTATCAATTTCAATAATTGTGCCCATAGCACTGCAACGTTGACAGCTGTCGATTTTTTTCTATGAGGGATTGAAGTCATGACCTGGTGCTTGACAGACAGCTCCTTATTCCATGGAGCTCAATCCCCAGCCCCAACAAATTTAGATAATAAATATGACAATTACTAATGCTTAATTTTCCATTGACATAGTTATAAATCTTGTCAACCTACATTTTCACAAATGAAACTACTTTCTTTCCTTGCAGTTGAAATTACTTTTATTTTTTGCCTGGCTACCTAGCACTTGCCAGGCTGGTGATTCTGCCTGCTGAACTACATCCCTGTCCTTTATTAAAGAATATTTTTAAATGTATAAGTATCACTTTATCCATTGAAACAGTATTTTGATTTTAGCAAAGAGGTCAATGTAGAAAGAAATAGATATACAATCAGAGGGGAACTGCAACCTGAAAGAGTAAATGCAAAAACTAAGTACAACAATCACCACTAGAGGCACAGCTGAAGAAAGCCAGACGTGAAGAAGATGAAGTGACCATGTCTACATGCCTCCTGAAGAGAAAAATGATAGCTTGAAATGTACTACAGTTACCACCACCTCCTCCAGGAAGTACAGATAGGCATCAGTTACCATACTCAATGACCAGAACAACTGGACTATTGTTCCCACAAAATGCCTTGGCTTTTTCCACATACCTTTTTTGGCTGACTTGTTCCCCTGCTGAATAATATTAGTTAAGCATCTATAACCTTATAGGTTGATTGTAGTTTGATACCCACACTGTACCCACATTGGGACTTTGCTGTATAAATGACCCCTGAAAATAGGTCTGTGGCCAAAACACTGAAGACCACTCCTGAAAATTCAGGGCTATTCGTCTCTCTTTTTTCTAAGAAAATTTTTGACCTTTTTTTGGTTTGTGACTTCATTCCTCAATGTCGTGAGGCAACGAACAACAGCAAACAGGGCAGGATTATATTTCTCCTATTTCAAATTGAATATGAAATGTCTGCTAAAGGCCAAGTTTCAAAGCCTGGATTTCAAGCTGCTTGTTTGCCATGAGATTAACATTTCCATGAGCTTTTAGAAGTCCTCAGTCTAGTGAATTGTAGATGTCTTGGAGGAAGGAGGTCACTGTTGTGCTTTAGCACAAGAGGTGCCATTCCTAAGTCTGTTTTTGTCACTGCCTCCTGGATGCCACTACAAGGCCTTGTTTCCTCGGCAGCATCATTCAATAATTCCCATTTTAGATAAGTCAACTTTCACTCAGCTCTATGATTGTTTTTTTTTAAAATAGTCTTTCTCTCTCATTGGTTGTTTATTTTTTTCATTTTAGGTTTTTGATTTAAAGACATAGTTTCACTTTGGTGTTCTGGCCAGCCTTGCACTCACTGTGTACGTTAGGCTGTCCTTGAGTATATGGCTATTTTCCTGTTTCAGCCTCTTCATTGATGGGGAAAAGAGGTGGGCATTATAACCCATGGTGTTTTGTCTTTTTTCTCCTCTCCTTTTCACTATTATTCTTTCATTTCAGTGGCACTGGCATTTTATCCTGGTGTTTGCTTGTGTCAGTAAAGGTTTCTGCAGCTTGAGTTGAGTTTGTGAACAACAATATAGGAATCCAAGCAACCCAATTGAGAAATGTGGAATTTCATTAGCTGGCCTCAGGACCACATGTATACAGAACCCCAACCCCCATTTCAGGATCTAAATGAGAGGCTCTGAACTGGAAAGTTACAGATGTTTTATAAGATACAATCACAAAAAGATCCTGTTGGAAATCATGTAGCTAGTGTCTTATAATAACTTTTGGATGACAACTGTATTCTGCTCCTTTTGTTGAGCAGGTTAATTTTTTCTTTGGGTACAGCTCATTTTGCTTTTCTTGTGGTACTTCAACCCAGAGTGATTTTTCCATTTTTCTGGGTGAAATACAGGGCATGAGTTAAATGCAAAGCTGAAGATGGAATCTGTTATGCCAAGCTACAGTACAGTTAAGTTACAGTGCCAAGCCTCAATATTTTGTAGGGTTAAAAAACACATATCTATAACCCCCGCACTCAAGAGGCTGAGACAGGAGGGATGCTGTGAAGTCAGGGCAATTGTAGGCTCCATAAGGGGTTCAAAACCAGCTGATATACATAAAAAAAAGGCTGTCTCAATAAAACTAACCTAAACTAATTCAAAACAGATGAATGGAGACAGAATTCTTCAAATTTTAATTCCATGTCTTGGTCATTAATTTTGTGAATATACACATTTTTGGAGACAGCAATTTTGATGCTATATTGCAACTCACTGCTAATGTAACAGACAAACAGGAGCACTGATTCTTGTACTGAGTCACTGCAAGAGTCTATGTGCACTGTGTCTAAAGCAGCACTTATAGTAGGAGTCTACAGGACCAGCATCCACAAAGCACACGGGCAGACAAATATCTCATCAATCACTTTGATAGACTACATATGATATCTCTTAAAATCTCATTTAGGCCACTGAGTCCTTTGTTCTTCAATATTAGGCAGCATTTTGATGTTTGAATTTGGTCTCAGGGAACAAAACATAAATAACATCAAATTGATACATAAATAATGACTCAAATATTACTGAAAAACATTTTATGTAAAAATGTATAAACAATGAAACCAGGTCCAATCAGCAAATTATAGCTCAGGGTCACAAAGTGATCACTTTCCATTCAGATATAAGAAATATATCTTGGGAGGCTGTTGCAGGAGAACTGCCTCGAGTTTGGGGCTAGCTTAAGTTACAGAGCTGTCTGAAATACTGAAACCCTGACTGAGACACCCCTCAGACAAAGTGAAACTTGAAAAGTCACTGCATAAGACACCTTTGGTTTGTTTTACAATTTATAGGCATACAATACAGAAAAACTGCAACAATATTCAACACTTACTAAGGAACAATGTTACTGTCTTCCATACTACACAGAAAACACGTTCAGTGCTCTGTATTTAGCTCAGCAGCATGAATGCCTGCCTGGCAAGCATGAGGCCTTGGAGGACCTCAGGGTCTGAAGCTAAGCAAGCAGGCTCTAGACAGCACAGCTCCTTCTCACCACTTCTAACTGGTCTCAACCTGCTTCCACCCCATTTCACTGCTGCCATCCCATAACGTCACCATTTCAGAGCTCGGAGGTCTCCCAGGTTCTTTCTAAGCAGTACACAGCAAATTAAAGCCACGAATCGCAGTCTAGCAAGAATCTAGATCTCCGCGTTTTGCTCGGGACACGCAACAGATACCATGACACCGGAAGAGACCGCCTACCTAGGCCCGCCTGATTGGACAGTTCATACAGCCCGCCTCTTCAGCACTGATTGGCTCTTGCTCTCCTGCCCGCCTTCCCCACCAAGAATAATTACAGGAAAAAAAAACCCCAGCCTGTAACTGTGGATCCCTATTGAAAGATTGTGGAACTTCTAAATCTGGCTGTCTTCTGCAGTGTTGATGTCAGCTCCTCCGATGGGTATTTGCACTAAAGGACTTTACCTCAGCCCTTGTTTTTTCCCCCCAAAAGGATTTTATTTCAAAGATAAAAAGTAAAAAATGTGGATAAGGTTTTTAGCTCAGCAGCATAAGCCCCTGACTGGGAAGCTAGAGGTCATGCATTGGATCCAAGATCTGGCTACCGCAAACTGTGCTGCTATAAACATGGGTGCACATACATCACTGTGATATGATGTTTTTAAATCTTTGGGGCAGATATCCAGAAGGGGCAGTGCTGATTTGGTGGGACCTGTAGACCTAGTTTGTGTGGAATCTCCACACTGATTTCCACAGTGGTTGCATTACCACCAGCAATGGAGAAGTGATCCTCCCCACCCCCTCCACGCTTCCAGCATTCCTTATTGATTCATTTCTTGTCAGTAGGCATGTTTTCTGAGGCAAGGTGAAATCTCAGTGTTGTTTTACTTGCATCTGTGGAATGACCAGTGAAGTAGAACATTTTGTCACATTTTAATTGGTTGTTTCCTTTTCTTCATCTGAGAACTGTGTATTTCTTCTCAGATGCACATTTTTGGATTGGGTCTTTAAATCTGGGAAGACTGAATTTTTTGAGTTTTCCTATGCTCTCAATAGTAATCCTTTGTCTGAGGAACAGCTGACAAACATTTTCTCCCCCTTGTGGTTTGTCTCTTCACTCTGCCAGTGGTTTCTCTTGCTGTTAAAAAGCTTTTCAGTAGGGTGACATCTCAGTTGATTCTGGGTGATTGTTCCTGTTTAATCCATGTTATCTTCATATAGTTTTTACTTTCATTAATGTCTTCTAGAGTTTTACTTACTCTATCTACCAGCAGACTTAATATTTCTGTTGTAATATACGATCTTTGATCTATTCTGATCTTAGCTTAATACACGTTGAAAGATATGGGTCCAATTTTAATGTTCAGCATGTGTAGAGCCAGTTTTTCCAGCACCATTTATTAAACAGGCTGTCTTTCCTCCAGTGAATGTGTTTGGCATGTTTGTCAAAGATAAGATGGTTTAGTGTGTCTGGGGCTGTTTCTCCATCTTCTAATCTATTCTTTGATCTTTTGTCTGGTTTTGTTTTGTTTTGTTTATTGTCAGTACCACAGCTTTTTAAAAAAATCACAGTAGCTTTATAGTATAATTCCAAGTCTGGGATTGTGATGAACCCTGTCTTTTCTTTGTTGCCTATGAGCACATTTGCTATTCTAGGTCTCTTCTGGTTCCAGATGAATTTTAGGATTTATTTTGTGTAATTCTGTGAGATATGCTATTGGGGTTTTGACTGGGATTGCACTGAATCTGTACCATAGTTTTGGAAGTATGGCCATTTTCACTATATTGAATTTTCCTAGGCAAGTGTACGAGATATCTCTCCATTTTATAATGTCTTCTTCAATCTCCTTTTTGAGAGTACTGGAGTTTTCATTGTAGAGGTTGTTTACATCATTTGTTAGATTGATTCCTAAATATTTCATTTTTTGGCTGTCAGTATAAAAGGTATTGTTTCCTTGATTTCTCTTTCCAGGAGTTTGCTATTTGTGTATAAGAAGACCATTGATTTTTGAGTGTTGACCTTGTAAAAAGCTATGTTATTGAATTTGCTAATTAAACTAGAAATCTTTGGTTGGAATATTTAGGGTCTTCTAAGTAGAGTGTTCTGTCTTCTGCAAATAATGATAGTTTAACATTTTCCTTTCATATCTTTATTTCTTTTATTTCTTTCTCTTGTCTAATGGCTCCAGCTAGTTTCCAGGACTATATTAAATAAGGGTGGAGACAGTGGATATCTTTGTTTTATTCCTGATTTTAGAGTGAAAGCTTTCAGTTTTTGTCCACTTAGTATGAGTTTGACTGTTGGTTTGTCATAAAAGGCTTTTGTCAGATTGAGATAAAGATCATCTCTCCCAATTTTTGTATGGTTTTTATTATGAATAGGTGCTGGACATTGTCAAAATCTTTTTTCTGCATCTATTGAAGTGATCAAATGATTTTTGCCTCTGGATTTGTCAGTACGGTGTTTTATATGTATGGATTTATGTATGTTGAACCACCTCTGCATCCCAGGGAAGAATTCCACTTAATCATGGAGTACAATCTTCTTGATGATATTCTGCAGTCTATTTGCCAGTATCTTATTGAGCATTTTTGCTTCAATGTTCATTAGGCAGATTGGCACATAATTCTGTTTCTTATTTGGGTTCTTCTTTGGTTTTGGTATCAGGGTAATACTTGCTTCCAGGAATGAATTTGGAAGTACCACTTCCCATTCAATTTCATTAAAATGTTTGAGAAGTAGTGGTGTTAGGTTTTCTACAAATGTCATGTTTAACCTCGCCATTTCATGGCTACATTTGATTTCTTTCAGTGACTTAGTGCAGCCTTTCCATAATTGGCTGCAAATGTTTTCAGGATTCAGGTTCAATCCTCCAGGGATGAATAATTCCCCTGATGTTAGAAAATATTCTGTGCCCAGGCCAAGGTGCCACACAACAGGATAGAGTGGGAAGGTTGTTTGAGACACAGCAGACTTCATTTTCAACTATTGTCTGTATTAATTTTCCACCTAGAAACCCAGTATGTGAACACAAAATGAGCTGTTACTGTGTAAAGTGAAAACATTATATTTAAATGATAGTAATAGTCTGCAAGAGAGTAAACATGAAAGAAATGCAAACATCAATTCTCCAGGACAAGCTTGCTACTCATTCAGACTCATAAAAATCCTGAATTCTAAAAGCGATCATATTGCCAAGCATGGGGGGCACAATTATTGCTGAAATGGAATGAAATTCCTAATCCAATTAAACGTTTACTTCTGATGCAGCAGGGACACTTAAGAACTTCAAACTCTAAGTTCCTCTTTCCCTATAGTTTCCTTGTTACAAATTGTCACTCTGGTCTTCAGGATTTTAATATCCCTAGAGGCCATATATTCCCTAAAGCCATGTGATCCATTTGTTAACAACTTGTTTGGCATCAGAGAAGTGTAGGAGATTAGTATAATCACTTCTATGTGTATATATTGCAGCCATGTGAATTGGAACCCATGAACCAAATCTAGTCCCTGGATCCTTCCTCTCAGGCTCTCTCACTCTTCTCTGGCTCCTTGCCCTCATAAAAAAGTTACCTTTTTCTTTTCACTTCTATTTTCCAAGATATTTCTATATTGAAATCAGTCAAAACCAAACCTCCCTCATAGAAACAATCACATAAAAGTATATATTTTTATTAAATTCTGTAGGTCAGATATTTTCTTCCTGTATAAAATAAAGAAATAAATATCTAATATAATTCAGCTAGATGTGTGTCTTAAATAATCTTCCAAATGTATCAACTCATTCAACTATTTATGTAATTAGTTTTTAATCTGTGAAACCTTGACAGTTTTTTATCATGTACGTATTTCAGTTTGACTCCAGCAATTTGCAGATGAAAACCACTAATCTCCTATACAACCCATTCTCTGACAAGCTGGCAGAACAGGGATCTGGTGATGCATTCATGGTTGAAACAAATGAACTGCTAGAAACACCTAGACTCATGTTACATAGTACTTAACAAATTCATGGATGCCTGCTTCATCATCTACCAATTTCACTTGTAAGTACTGACTTGGAAAAATTTATGTAGAGCACTCACAATGATGTGAAGCATTGTATGATCATGCCATCTAAGAAATCAGGATAATACCCCTCAATATGTTAATAAGAGAATATATGTTGAAATGGTAGCAATATGTTGATAAGATATTAATATGTTTTGTTGATAGGTAGCATAACACTTCTATCTACAGGTACAGAAAATTTTACATGCAGTAATCTTTTCAGGAAACTTACAGTTATCCTATTTGAAAGTTATTTTTTTCTGTTGGGGCCTATGCCTAAATCTCGAGTCCCCAAAAAAGTGCGCAGCAAAGGACCAAAAGCATGAGACAAGTGGCATTCTCTTGAGGGCAGCAGGAAAAGTGAAATCCTCTTCAGAGCTCATAATGCTGCTAGTGGGCCAGCCAATTATCAAGAGGGAGCATGTATTTAATCAAAACAAGAAAGGAATTGAGTGGACAATGGAGGAGACCTGAGCAGGCTCCTGGGAGAGTATCAAGGAAGCCTCATTACAACAGATGATGCTAATTAAGGAAAACTATCTAGGAAGTCTGCAGGTGGCCTCAGCAGTAACCTATCTTATGCTTTGAGATGTATCCTCTTTCTCAATTCAGTCATGCCCAGGCCATACCACGGTCCTGAACACGTATTCAGCTTCAAAGCTTTCCAACGTCTATATCTTTTTTTGTTTTTTGGCTCCCAGGATAGGTGGCCAGCTCAAGGTGGGGAAGATTTGAGGAGAACACCAATTGAAACTCATTATAATCCATCAGTTCATAACAGCAGTCAGTTACCAGCATAGACAGCAGTTGTCAGAGGATGTTAGTGATCCGAGATTCCCCACAGCCAATATTTTGTATTGCACTGTATCTCCAGAGGCCAGACATTTTGCAGGAGGTTCAAGACCAAACTGACATGAGATCTGCATTGACTACAATCAGTTCCTTAGTTCCTATAGAGGTCACTTAGGTCTTCTCAGGAGTTATCTTAGAACTATGCATAGCACCTCATGGCTCTTCTGTCAGCGTCACCTAACCACAAGTGTCACAGCCATTGCTTGACCACATTGCTCTCTTGAAAACTTGGGAGATTTTTCTCTTGGTCACTCGCCCTAGGCACACCTTGCACTGAAGATGACTATCTTCTGTGGTCTCATCATGTTCTTAATGATGCAACAAGGGA